ATTTAAACAAGTTAGATACAGAAGGATATACTACTGTAAATGATTTTGTCTTGAAAATCACAATACTACCAAACCCTTCTCTTATATCATAATAGAATTTGAAATGTGAATATCATGACAACACTAAAAGAGACAGAGTTAGATGGGGATAGGTAGGATAAGACAGGGAAAGATTTGTGAAAAGTAGAAAGGGAGAATGGAGTGATTAAAGGGAGGCAGAGAGGGGGTGAAAGAGAGGTTGATAAAGATGGATAGGTAGGTAGAGAGAGGAAGAGAGCGGGAGGAGAGAGAGGAGAGAATGAAAGAGATTATAGAGAGATGTGAAGAGAGAAAGGTCAAGATATATGCAGGGAGGTTGAATATTAAAGAGGGAGAGAGACAGAGAGCGACAGAGAGAGACAGAGTGACAAAGAGAGACAGACATAAGGAAAGGTTGAGAGGGGGCATCCTGAAATGAAAGTGCTGTTGCACTTCTCTCCTTTATTTACATTAGGTATCTCTGCTTGTCAAAGTGGTTCATTGTGTGTCATGCTGTCTCTTGTCTTGACAGCGATGCAGCAGCATGTCTCTCCAAGCACCATAGCTCCACCCCTAGCTCCTCCCTCTTCACATTAATTATGCAGCTCAATGCAGCACTCCGATTCCCCACCACAGCTCAGCCATGCTACCATGCTCCACTGTTGACTGCTACTAGCTGCACATTTACAACCAAATACAAACACATGTACATCAACTCATGTTTCTCCTAATGTTTTTTCATCCAACTGAAACAGGAATCAGTTTGAAAGCCACAGATTTCAGTTGTCAATATCCTACACTATATTTAGTCTACCTCAGGACATGTTTTGCATTAGCCGAGGGCAATATGATCACATTTTTAACATGATATAGAAGAGAAAATTTGCTGTAATAAAAGACTGATAACTAGGAATGCTTAACAATAACTTTTATATAGTTTTGAGCTATTTAAGTTATAGCTATATGTTCTGCTTCCACTGCTCACGTCTTGGTCTCTTTATTAGCGTTTTTAGATTCTGTAGAACCACAGTCAATGTTTAAGTCGCTCTAGGCTTTTGCGGTAGCAATTAGCCACAATCTTCCTCCCCTCACAAGTGAGAGGAAAATCAGCTGCAGTACACATGCAATTATGTCACAATATTATTCAAAATTTCATATAATCCCCATATATACCACGATGTATCAACAGCCCAAATATGGCCCAGTCCTATTTTGCACAATACATGTTATTTATTTACTATTCATACTTGCCCCTCTATAATACATGTTATCGTTCTCATAATGCTAACATAGAGGAGAGGGGCTCTGAGGCAATCTTAACATCTCTAAGTGTCATTGGTGATATGCAATTGATTCTCTGCCCTGGACCTTATAGAGAATAAGAATCACATCATGTCAGGTGAAGAGGGGAGTGAGTCCACTACACTATGTTATACTACTGCTATATGTGCGAATCAGCTGCATCAGCTACATGAGCAAACTACAGCGAAAGGCGAGAAGATAGTACTATGGAAAGTCTCATGTTGACCGGATCAGCCCTCAGGCAAGCCTGCACTGGGGTGGAAATGTAGCAACTGTTTATGAGAGCAGAAATAAGCTTAACTCTTTCCTACAGCTCCCCCTTGATTAAGACTAATTTCACATCTGCATGCTTGTGACGGTGTGTTTGTAACTCACTCATTCAAATGCTTTATAATTAATCCAACTTAGTGCAAGGCTGCCCTGAGTGACTCATTCATGCATACTCGCAGCACATTGGCGGTCTCCATACATAGATGAACTGCGCGCTCTCTTTCATTTCAACTGACTCCTGACGACAAGCTTGCAGCTAACGTGAGGGATCATTATGTTGTATTTGCCACACAGGGTGTCATCAATGAAATGCAAAACCCCAAGTGTGCAAACACTGGCTATGTCAAGGCACATGTTGTTTAACGTCCTATTGTCACTTCAACAATTATGTTTGTAAAATGCTACCTCTGAAGCAAAAGCAAACACAGAGGCAGATGCTCCTAATGGGGAAATCATTGGGAGGGATCATTTAGCTAGTATTGGTAAAGTGAACCATACACGCTAACATAGTCTGCAGGGAGTATGGAATGACTACACCCCCTCTCCCGGAAAGCATTGCTCCTCTATTTTGGCTACTGTCACCAAGCGTCCATGCATTAAATAGCGTCAGTGTAAAATCGGATATCCAGTGAGCACAAGTGAGGGTCAAAATGTGAGGGTTGCAGATGAAGACAGCCCTCTGTGCAGTGCTGGGCTGCTGCAGGGGTCTTTTCAGTGCATACGCGCGGATGGTGAGCACAGAACAGCGGGGGCTGGGCACTGCAATGTACTGCAGTGCTCGGAGCTCGCGAAGCACACCCACTCTCTCCCATTCTGCCGTTGACAATCTCTGCTCCATGCTCACCTCGCTGCTGCTCACTTTTGTTCCACTCCTTTCCCATCACTGTTTCCGCACATGCCTTTGTCCTGTCATTTCTATATCTATTGTTCACCACACTTTTTTTTTACTACAATAAACTCCAGAGAAAGCATGGAGATAGCGATAATTATGGTAGTCTAGTTAATTGACTTGCTCAGACACATTGGCTCAGATACAGACAGGCTTGTTCTACTCTAGATCCTTTTCTAGCAGTTTGCCTCAATGCCCTTGTCCCTGCTGAAAAGCTCCGATCACTGACACAGCAGAGCAACACACCATTTATCCAGAGTCATTCTGTGTTCCAAAATGTGTCTGCAATCTTAAAACATCTGCAATGCCCTCCAAGTTTCCAGTGTAACCTAGAAAACTTCCATTTGGAAGTATCAGAGTTTGTGCCGCACTTAGTTGGAGTTTTACAGCTCCCTGACAGGACAAGTTTGGGCATTGTTACAAACAGTAATATTTCAGAATGACAGCCGCTGCTGCTCCGTCGTGTTAGCAACACCATCATTTACAGGGGCCCATGTGCTTCTCCGGCCGGGACTGGGAGTGTCACACTCAGGATGAGCAATGACAAGGCTCGCATCTGCTCTGCTCCAAAACAACTCCTCCAGCAAAGTTAAATAAGACAGTTACTGTACATCAAAAATAATTCAATTTCAGCTGTAGATTTTCCTTATCAACTCCATCTAGTTTACATCTAGAAAACTCCACAGAGGACAGCAATCTTGGCACTCTTTACTGCACTTGTGCCATAATGAGGGGTGGTTAACCACGAGGGGTCTCATTTCCGATTGTCATTAAGACTGAGGTTTGTGATCATCTCCATCAGAATGGGCTTCTCAGTGTGACAGCTGGATCACACAGAGATATTTCTCGGGTTTCCTTCAACCATGACATGAAACAAAGCTTTCTATCACAGCATGGGATATAACTGTATAAGCAGCACTTATTATGTGTCTCCGACTCTCACCCAGTACTTCAGATCCTCTTCCACCATTATAGGTGGAGAAGAAGCATTCATATTTTTATCATCAGACCTTGTACTGTGGGTTAGAGGATAAGGTAATACCCTGCACAAGTACTTAAATGAAGCTATATCATAATTAAATGTGATACACAATACATGGCTCACAATGCAATAATGTAACAATTTTGCAATAATCGATATATTACCCATGACATTCAGTGATATCTGTCTATTTTAAAAAAAACAAATGTATTTTATCAATAGTATTAACAGTATTTCTTTGTTAAATTACTAGCTGCATAAACTTATATATGAAATACACAAGCATCAACAAACAGGTTTCATGTCTCTAAATAAGCAACAAAATTGTCCCAATATTATTATGATCACCAAAATTATTATCACTAAGTTATTCTAGCAGTACCCAAAACAGAATGGCTCTAATATTATGTAGATGGCTTTAAACAGGGTTCTTTAAAATGCGTGGTGCTACACAAGACCAGGAGCATTAATAATGAAGAATGTTTTCCTCATGTCTATGGTTGGAGCAGTGGGGGGGTTGCAGAGAGCACACACAATATGAAAATGTGAATTTAAATACGTGTAATATATTACATGTCAAGTGTTGGCCTTCTCAATACGGTTTAGTCCATGTGCTCTGTCCATGGTGCTGAAGTAGCTTCTCCAAGTAACATATTACCACTGCCCCTGTCTTCCTTCTGTTCAGACTGACATCTCAGCCATTTAAATGTCTATTCTGATATACAATACTAAATAATGAAAATAATGTTCCAAGATAAGTTGCATCCTTCCATTCTGCAGCACGCTAATATTAGGCAAGTGAGCCTTGAATACAAGAGAACACACAGCGCCCACTACTGGACAGATTTAACACCTAATTTATGGAGTTATGAAGGTCAGATCAGTGGTCAGTGAAATCAGAACGTGATTAAAGTGCGCAAATTACAGCTGCTCAGTTTTCAGCTATTCAGTTATTGTCAGTTACAACAACATGCTTAATCTTTGCCTTAATTTAAAAATGTTGTATACCATCGGTGCAATAATTATACCCAGTTGGACTAATCAAGGCATAGGACTGCTGAGCTTTACAAAGTCCCCAAAGCTTTATAGACAAAACAAGAAAAGGACAGGCTATCTGCCACACAATCTAGTAGGCTAATGAAATCAGGGAAGATATTTTAACAATAGACCTCAAAATATTATAACCCTAGGCAAGAAACAAACTTTTTCTCATATAAAGAAGGTTTTCGTCGTAAGTTGTTTATGAAAGATTGCAGATGGTTGTATAATGAAATTTGCCCTCATGGTCGGATGCTGAGAAGGGATGTAATGGGATACTGCAGCACTAGAGAATCGTGTGCACAGAAACTTGCCTAGAAGCATCAGGGAGTCCCGCACTAACCTCCCCCTCCCTTCCGCTCTCCTTCCACCTCTGGCTGTTCCAACAACTCACTTTTACGCAACAGAATCCGGTACAAAATTAACCAAATTGGATTCAAACATAATAAACAGAAGCGAACGTTTAAGCCACGTAAGTAGCAACTTCTTTATGGCGCTTACCTTTTTGGGCAGGATGGTCTTTGCGGTACACCAAGCTTTTCCCCGTCCTTCTGATGCCAAGACACTTTGAGATAGAGAGAAAAGAAGAATGAAATCCTCTTACTTTTTAGGTTATTTCCAGTTTGAGAAATGCAAAATTCAGAACTAAATCACAGCTTCCTGGAGACACACCTTGTATTATGATCCTTTTTGTTAACTCTGCCACATTAAAGCGCACAGACACGCGCCATTCGCATACACCCCAAGACTGAAGTTGCCAAATTGATAAAGATCCGCTCGGGGGAGGGATAAAACTACACACACAAGCTGCAGTTTTTTCCTTGTCCACTCGCTCCAACTCGTCTTTTTTCTGGTGCGTCTCCCTGCACCGGCTCCTGATTGGCCAAAACGCTCTTCAATAACATAAGCTCTCTTTTTTAATTGGAAGGTGTCCAGTACTGTGATGCACCAGTACGCTTCCCGCCCAACCCATCACTGGTTCACCCCCCCATCGCTATTTTTTGCCCTAAGTGCTTGCAGGAAGAAGAAAAAAAAAAGCTGAGCTGTGCGTTTTTGTCGTGCAAAGCAAAGAAGGGACTGGCTGAAAGGAGAGATAGATGCTGTATGGGTGAAAGTGAAGGGAAATTGGTGCACCGCAGTGGGACATGCACTAAAATATGAGACAGGCGGGGCACGTATTTGGGCATATGAACTGAAACGCGTGTCGTGGGGTTTGGGAGGATGGTATCTTTGTGCTCGCTGCAGCTAGGATGGGATAGGTCCTCTTACTGCAGTGTGTGTGAAGCCTAATTG